ATTATGGGAAATCGTACGAAAGTTTCTAAAAAAAAAAATTGAAAACAGAACTACCCCATGACCTGGAAATCCTTTTCGGTAAATACCCAAAGGAAGTGAAATCACTATACCCCTCCCATAAAAGGTATCTGTGCTACCATTTTCATTGCAGTGTTGTCCCAAATAACCAAGATGTGGGGCAACCTAAGCGTCCATCAACGAGACAAATGGATACACAGACTGTGATACTTATGCCCGTGTGCAGGAAGATTGGTCAGACCTAAAAAAGAATGAGTGAAGAATGAGATCTTGCCACCCACCAGGGAGGACATTATGTTAGGTGACGTAAGCCAAACACAGAAAAAAAAAAAAAATCACAAGATCTCACCTACATACAGAACCTTAAAAAAGCAAACGCTCGCATATACAGAGAGAGAACAAAACAACGCCTACCAAGGGTCAGGGAAAATGGGGAGATACAGGTGGGGATACAAAGTAGCAGGTATGTGGGTCCTGCAGGTCTAGAGACCTCAGGTACAACATAAGGTACAGGTCTAGAGGCCTGCAGGTCTAGAGACCTCAGGTACAACATAAGGTACAGGTCTAGAGACCTGCAGGTCTAGAGACCTCAGGTACAACATAAGATACAGGTCTAGAGACCTGCAGGTCTAGAGACCTCAGGTACGACATAAGGTACAGGTCTAGAGACCTGCAGGTCTAGAGACCTCAGGTACAACATAAGAGCTGTGCCGTATTGGGGACTCGGGCAAAATGAGCAGATTTTTAGCGACTCTTGCCACTCAAACAAAACAACAACAAAAAAAACCGGGTAACTGTGTGATGATGGATATATGAATTAGCTTTTACTGCAGCGACCTATTTTACTATCTATGTACCCCACAACATCATGTTGTAAACTTTAAATAAAAAAAAAAAACTTACTAAAAATATTAATCATCGTACATCTTTCTCTATTTTTTAGCACCCAGAAAATTTCAAGGTATTTTAATGTTATAATTACTCTATTAAGGCCGGGCGCGGTGGCTCACGCCTGTCATCCTAGCACTCTGGGAGGCCGAGGCGGGAGGATCGCTCGAGGTCAGGAGTTGGAGACCCCAGCCTCCCAGCAAGAGCGAACCCCTGTCCTACAATTAAATAGAAAGAAAGATAATTGTCCAACTAATATATATGAAAAAAATACCCAGCCCCATGGGTGGCGCAATGCCTGAGTCCCAGCTAGCTGCAGGAGGCCTGAGGCAGGAAGGATCGCTTGAGCCCAGGAGATCTGAGGTTGCCTGTGAGCGAGCTGACGCCCAACGGCCTCAAAAAAACCCTCCTAGCCTGGGCAACAAAGCAGAGAGCCCTGTCTCAAAAAAAAAAAATTACTCTATTAATAATTACCCTATTACCTGTTAATTACTCTATTAATAATAACTCTATTAATACTTTGGGAACTTTTGAAACATTGGCACATAGAATCTCTGATTCTAAAGGCTCACCGGTTTCGTCCGTATTCAAGTATCTAACGACTCTGCGTTCAAAAGAATTTGTCGCGT